TCAACACCATTTCTAAAGAAAGACAAAATAAATAATAATTTTTTGAATGTTATTCTTTCTATTGTTATTTACCTTTTAAATGAAATTGTTCCTTCATCACAATCGATTAAACATGAAATAATATCACCTGCTAACCAAGGCTAAAAAAATATTATAGAAATTATTATTGAAATAAAAAATTGTTGTTTTTTTTCTTCTTACATCGCCATATTTCGAATTTTGTACATTCCATTTTCTTATACGTCCACCATCATATGAAAATGATGTCCAAGTATCACCAACTCCAATTTCTTGAGAAAAATTACATTTTATTGTACACCAACCAAATTGCATAACACCACGCGTTTCAAGTAATACTTCATATTGCCATTTACCACGAAAAACACATACATCAGCTCGAACTGTATTAAAACTAGCAATACCAGTGTACTTAAAAAAATAACAACAATATATTTTTTGAAAAAATCACAATTTAAAATATTACATCAGAACGTGTACATTGAACAATTCCAGTTGCATCATTTAAAATTAAACTAGTTGTCGAAGGTCCAATACGATATTGTTCATAATCTAAATACAATAATTATTCAATATCTTAATGTGAAAAAGAAGAAAAATAATTCTATTTACCAAGTGGAGGTTTTGAGGACACTATAGCTATATTAGTAAGTTTATTATCAAGATATTCACCCACATCACTTAATTGATGAGGAAATAAATGTCTAAATAATTTAAAATAAATATTTATTTATATTTATTAAAATTTTACCGATCATTCGAATTATCTTCTTCTTCATATTGTGATGAGACTTTACTGAAAATTTGTGTCAGGATATCGTAAACATTATGTGTTGCTGTCATGAAAATGATTCTTGAAAAATTATTGATTCTAAATCAAAGAAAAAAAAGAATAAGTAGAAAATTCAAAGTACAAATAAAATGTCAAAACAATTTTCTTTTCATGAACATCTATCAGATGAAGGGTACATGCAAGGAATCAAATCATAATGAAGTCTTCGATCATATGCTTTTTTTTCCTCGTGTTATTCACTGACATCTATTGATACATATTCTTTTATATATTCTTAAATAATCGAGCTAGAATTGAATATCTTCTTATTATGATCAATTCTATATCGAACATATGATTTATTTTTAAGAGTATATAATTATTTGTATTTATTTTTGATATATCAAATTTTTTAGGTTAATTACATGGAAAATCATAGAGGTATATCACATGTATTCAAATAATATTAGAATGTAAATGATGTTTTTCTTCTAAAAAAATTATACAGTTAAAATATTCATTAAAGATAACATGTTTTTTTATTTTTAATTTTTCTTAGAAGTGTATATTCATAGAAGTTGGTCATTTCTTATTTCACATTTTTATGTCAGTTTCATAAAATAATAAATAACTTCGACCAAAAAAAAAGACATGAATTGTTTTGATTGTTTTTACGCTCTAGTATTTGTAATGAAATCATACAATTAGGGTGTTTATGTGTCTTCATTAAAAGAAATTCAGTATTGCCATAATTCTTTTAGATTGGAAGAAATTGACAAAGATTTCATAACATAGAAATAGAAAATTCTGATCGATTTAAAAATAAAAATAATCTATTTACAACTCATCCATGTACCTTATAATATTCAAGGTCTTATTTCTAAAAATATACACATTTACGTCGTTAGACAAGACAATTTTTCAGTAAAAATATATAATATAACTATACTCTCGAATATTCTCAATTAGCTTATACGTAATATGGAAGGTTTATTTTTAGTTATCATCAATGTATAACACAGAGAATACGTCATAAATCATAAATATTTGGGCGTTCTTATATACGCCATACAGGTTAATTGGTATTTCATACAGGTATATTATCTTAGTATAAATACTCGTTGGTTTCTCTCTCATAATTTCATACACTCGTACGAATACAAATTTATTATTTATCAATCGTTTTACCACATTCTTCAGTTTAACAAAATGTTTGCTCAACCAACAGGTATTAACAATATGCTTGCTCAACCAATAGGTGTTAACAATATGCTTGCTCAACCAATAGGTGTTAACAATATGAATGCTATCAATACTATGAATACTGCCAATACATGGAATAACGATTATCAAACCGTTGGTTATGGTAATTATGGTTATGGAATTTATACACAAGATGTTGAACTTACTCGTGATCCATTCACTGGTCGTATTAATTTAGAACATGAAATTGATTTTGTTCCATTAGGTAATCAATTTCAACCTTATACTGGCATTCCAGCTTCTATTCATCAACATTATATCAACTAAAAGACTAGATATTTGAACTGTAAATTGTAATATAGTTTTTTGTTTTTCGATGAAATTGAAAGGAAAATAAACTGAGACAAACAAAAATAGATTCATCTGTTTTTATTTTAATATAACGGAAATGTAGAATCAACATCTGTATGCCATGCCTGAAAACCACCTTCGAGATCTTTAATTTTTTCATCAATATTATCAATATCAGATAGTAATTCTTTTAAACGTCTTACAGCTAATTGTGAATCATTGCCACGACGACAAACAATAATAATTTGTTGATTGTTTTCTATATTTGTACGTAATTCATTACGTAATTGTTCATCATCATTCTTATATAATAGTCGATCCATAGGTAAATGAAATGAATTATCAAATTGAGCTATATTCAGTTCATGTTCAGGTCTTACATCAATAATAAATGATGATAAATTTGATTTTGATAAATCATTCGCTGTTATACGTTCATTTCTATTTAATAAATTTTTTCGACAAGGTTGATCATTACTACATTGATTCATTGGAGGCGGAGATGGTTGATTTATTATAGTTGGATTTGTTCCACATACAGCACATGTTGTTTGTCGATTACGTAATTTAATTGTTCGAAAATTCATTGATAAACCATCGACAAGAAGCATTCGATTCGATAATACATCACCAATTTTTGTTACAATTTTAATTGCTTCTAATGCTTGTAAACTTCCTAATGTTCCACAAACAGGACCAAGTACACCAACATCAGAACATGTTGATACTGTTTCTTCTGGTGGTGCTTGAGGATATAAACAACGATAACATGGTCCATTTTTTTCAATATAATTCCAAACACTTAATTGTCCTTCAAGACGAATTACACTTGCAGATACAAGTGGTTTCTGGCAAAGAACACATGCATCATTTATTAAATAACGTGTTATAACATTATCAGTACAATCAAGTATAACATCATATTGTTTAACAATAGGCATAATATTTTCATAGGTTAATAATTGATTATATGTATCAATTTTCAATGATGAATTTATTTGTAAACATGTGATTTGAGCTGATTCAACTTTTGTTTTACCAATTGTTGTTTCACGATGAATTATTTGTCGATGAAGATTTGAAATATCAACATTATCATGATCAACTAAACCGAGACGACCAAGACCGGATGATGCTAAATACAAAGCTGCAGGAGAACCTAAACCTCCACAGCCAATAATTAATGCTGAAGAATCTTTTAAACGTTCTTGTGCATGAACACCGAATTCTGAGAGTATTAACTGACGTGAATAACGTTGTACTTCATCATTAGATAATGAATGATTACGAATATGTTTAGTCATCTGAAATAACAACGTTTGTATGAATAAACTAAATCTATGACGATTGAAGTATCATTTCATAATTCTTCTTATTATCATTCAGATAATTTTAATAATTCGTAGTCAAAATCGAAATTAAAGAGCGAATTTCTTCTTACTTAATTCGTAAAACTTTACTAGTGGTCGAATATACAATCCATTCAGATCAAATCTCAATAGATATAGAGGGCTAATGATTTATATGATCTTTTACTTGAAAATTATTAAATTAATTACAAGTAAGAATATAACATTTCTTGAAAAAAAACGGATTGAATTCTATTTACTGTTTAGTTTTTCTTTTCATTTCAAAAGAGGGTGCCACATGTATATTTTCCACATGTACTTATCTCCTGTTCGCCCAGCGCTTCAATCTGAGTCATTTATATTTTAAAAGAGCGAAGCACGCGCTACGCTTACACACACACCCACGTTTACATTTATCGCGTTGAAATCAATACATATTAAAATATATTTATATCTTTTTTTACAACAAATACTTCCAATCAATCTTAGTTTAGATAATCATTTAACTACTTGATCTATTACACATATTATACATATACATATTTATATAATTCTATTCTTGTTCTTTTTTGACAGTCTCCACCTACTCAAGGTATAGTAATGTAGACATATCAAGTACTATTATTCAACAAACATTAGACATATAGTATAGCTGAACCCACTTCTCACATTGATTGATATATTCAAAAGGTGGGAATTCATATTACGTAATACCTGTCAAATATGTCCTTTGTATTAAAAAGAGTTTGTGTGTACATATTGAACAACAAATTACATCAAAGTGTGATTTTCAATATGAATTCAACTGTCCGTCGTTCTTTCTCTGTTCTTTTCTAATACACCACTCCTCCCATTCTTTCTATTCATAATATTCATTTGTAATATATATATAAATACTATAGTTATTTCTATATTTTATTCAGATCATTTACATTTAAATTTAATCAATGTCGGACAATCGAAAAAAATCCCGACGTCGGCGATCTGTCGATGAAGCACCTGAATTAACACCAATTGAAAAATCTATTGCTAAACATCTTCGGTTTCAATGTCCAACTAAAAAAGGTATGTTAATGGGTATGCAAGTTGTTTATTTTAATGGACCAAAAGCAGTTGAATGTCTTACTGAATCGAAATGGTCATCAATAAGTACCAAAGCATTAGCTGGTCAAACAACTACTGATAGTAAACATCCCGTTTGCTTTTCATCTAAACATGATGCTGTTCAAGTATAATTCTACTTTTTATTTTATGAAAAAAAAAATTCAATATTCTCAATTCTAATAGATGCTTCGTAAATTTTTGGATAATGAGATGTTTCGTCGAGTTGTTAAAGTATATAAAGAAGATAAATCTACTTCAGAACAAACATCATCGAATATTACCGGTGATACATCTCAATCTAATACACCTCGTGCTGTACGACAACGTAAAACAAAAGCAACTGCAAACGCAGAATCAACACCAAAAGAAGATGATAATTCAAAAGAAAAAGAAAAAGCAAAAAAGAAAAAATTTAAATTTGAATTACATGATGATCAATTATTTGTTGATAATATAAATGAATTTTATGTTTGGATTTATTCTCCAACAACAATTAAACAATATATTATGGGTGCTTTACTTGTCATTGGTTGTATTGGTGTTTGTCTTTTTCCATTATGGCCTGCTGAAGTACGCACTGGAGTGTATTATTTATCAATGGTACTCGCTAGTTTACTTGGTTTATTATTATCATTGGCTGTTTTTAAATATATTTTGTTTGCCGGTGTTTGGCTATTAACATTAGGTAAAATAAGATTCTGGTTATTACCTAATTTAACTGAAGATGTGGGATTTTTTGATTCATTTGTTCCCTTATATATACTGAATGCAGAAACAAAGAAAAAATCTAGTAAAATTAATAATGAAAAACAAGAAAATAATAATGAAAAAGATGAAATAGAAAAATCTTCAAATAAAAAAGAAAACCTCAATGAAGAAAAGAAAAAAACAATTGAATCTAATACTGTTGAACAAGCTGAAAGTGAACATGATGATGATGATAAAGAAAAATCAACAAGTCGATCAAGTTCAATAGATGAAACTGAAGATGGAAATAAACCACAGAAATCATCCGATGAAGATTTTGAAGTACTCTCCAAAGATGAATTAGAAACGAAATAATATATATATATATATATTATCTTTTCCATTTGTTTGATTGTTTTTCTTCTTTTTCAGCTCACGCAATAGATTTCTATACATATTATATATTAACGATGTTTCTTTTGCCCTTATTTCATTTTTAAAATTGAACAGTGTGCTATGAGTAGATCATCTTCTCTTTACCTTTATCTTAAGATTCTTCTTCTTTATATTGTTGTGTGTGCAGTGAGAATGTAGAAAAACAAAATCAAAAAACCTAGTTAAACATGTTTTCATCTCTAGTTGATCTGAGGTTTTTTTTCACCTTCATTGAATGCAAAAAATATCATTTATTGTTTATTATTAATCACCATCAATTAAACGCATAAGAGATAGTACTACATAGTGCATTTTTTTTGTCTAAAATTGATTTTCTTTTGTTTTTATGTGTACGTTTATCTTTATCATCAAGTCTTCATAATTACTTTCTTCATGACATCATGTTAAATGACATTTTTTATTTCTTCCGGATAAAAAATAGCGTTCTTTTATTGTTGTTGTTATTGTCATTGTTTTTGATGATATTTATAGATGCACGCATATATGATTTTATTCTGTTAATTTGTCACCTTCATCGATCGAATAATAAACAAAGAAAAATCAACGATCATTTTCTCATCACTCATTTACTACCGTTGTTATAGTAATGTTATTTAACAATCTGCGTTATTTTAACTAATATCAACAAATAGGTGATATAAACACACATTTACTGAAGAGCTTTCATTCACTTCATGAGTATCATTTGTTTACTTTGAAAATAAAAAAAAGAAACTTGGTCAATACTATAGTTTGATGGTCATATATGCTTTCGTTGTTATTTCTGTCATTCTACGTCTTCATCTTTTATACAAATTTTAACAGTTAAACAATTCTAAATATAAGAAATGAAAGAAGAAAAAAAAATGATTGAACATAATTTGTATGACTTATGATTTTTTCTTCATAAACCTTTTATCAAGTGATCAATCTGCAAGTTTTATTCCAAAGTATATGAAACAGATAAATAAAACTCAGTTGATCGTAAATCTTTTGTTTCTAACTGAACAAACTAATTAATCATAGTATTTTACGATGAATCTATATGATGCTACTGTTGTAAAGAATCTATTTACTTGAAGATTCAAACTATTTTCCTAAAAATAGAATAAAACTAGTTGCAAACTGATATTCGTCTGTTTTATAATCTTTGTGAATGAATCTTGACTCATGCATTTATCAATGTGCATGTGATTTACAATCTTTAAGCATCTAATTATCTCAAAATACCTCCTTTAAAATGACTAAAATACACAAATGTCGTAATATCTTTACATTCGGTAACGACAACTATACATCAGAATATTCAGTGGAGTAAGTTTCGAGTAATTACCCAGTTACATCAAGTTCAATAGAATTCCTCAACTTTCAAAGATAGGAGTTGATGGATCTCATAATTTTTCGCTATATACGTGTGCAAGGTTGTGGAATGTGAGTAATTCCTGTATAGGGTCAGATGATGGATAATTCCTAATACCGAATGTAAGGGTATTATGATACTACTCTTTAAGTATATATCCAGAATTTACTTCTATAGTATCCATTTGACATATGTCTTTCAATCCGCTGACCATTTAGTAGAGTTTTACATAAGATCAATGTGATAAACCGACTACACTGTTGTATATAAAATTCTTTTACCATGATGCAATCGATCATATAAATAAACAAATTAGAGAACCGGCGTTCAAGTGGACAAAGCAAGTAAATATAACTCTCATTAGAAATATTCAACTGACATCTAATGGTCAATCAGATTTTTAATTTGCAATAGTGATTTTGAAAGGAATAACATAAGTAAACGTGATAGTACTAACTTGTAAATTTCAATATGAAAGTCATCTTATAACCTTGCTATTTATCAATCAAATAAATAACTAGAACCTTATTACAGAAGAATCATGTCAAATTGTAATCTTTCATCAATTGATCATATTACAACATTGGTTTTGGTATGATTAAAACAGATAAACTGATGAATGATGAGATCTATTCGTCGGACTTTTAATTAATGGAATGTTGTCATACTGTGTATAGAATAGATCTATAAAATAATCATATAAAATATTTTTTTATAATTATTAAACGAAATGTGTGGCAAAAAATGATAAAATAGCTTGTATTTACAATTTGACAATGAAACTTTATGAGAGAAGATTATTAATGAAAAAGAATAGTTTCGATTGTTGAAATATTCAATTTATAACAGTAATTATTTGTTTTATTTCGTATCTTCCATGTCTATGTTACAGTCTTCTATAATTGTTTCCTTTATAAATTGAATAAAGTGCTCATTAAAATTAAATTATTTAATAGAAACTATATTTTTTCAAGGTTGTAGAGCATATGTATGCAATATAACGACAGCGATTGAAAGATAAAATATCAGTATTAAACAACATCTTGGTTTTATATCACTTTTCGAACATATTAAAACGATATTAGTGTGATAGTTTTTAGTTTAAAAAATAAATATGATATATGTATATCTGTTGAAAAACAATCGATTTACTGTTTAGATTCCAGACATTATCTCATCAACACTCATTTGATCATTACAAAAATATCATAGGTTCAATAGATACACTGACATTCTCTTAGAGGAGAAGAATAAAAAACAAAATGTAATGTAATCTATCAACAGATATGTTAATGTATTAAATTAAGGATCAATATACAAGAATGAATTACATATTCAGTAATAGATTGAACTATCATAGAATTTGAAATTAAACTATCGTTAACTATGAATAAAAAATGTTTTCATATTTCGATTGAAAAAATCTAAAAACATGCATCAATCAGAATATTATTTTTCTCTATAATAATCGTTTTGATTTATATAATTTTATAATTTCTGAATATGAATTTAGCACCTATGAAATCTGTGAAATGATGGTATTTTCATGTTTTGTCATTCAATTTTAAAATTTGTTCTATTCTGTGTGATAAACACGTAACTATGTCGTCTATACGAATATTTTTCAATTCTTTGAATATCTATTCGTGCATACCTATTCAATAGAATTTTAATTCTAATCCATTTCACATACAGACTGATCTACTTACGAATAAATCGTTTTAATTCTTTTGTTTGAAAAAAACTAATAGAAGAATTTATAGTAATATCTAAATTTGTTTTTGTAAATTAATAAAATTATCTTATAGCAGTACAAAAATTAATTATCAAGTGTTATATATTAATTTTTTATGTTTAGCTAATTTTCGTAGAGATGGAACTATCAAATATGACAAATGTATCAACAGATGTAGATTTCCGCGTGGATTATACCGGAAAAAAAGTTTTAACACCTACAGAATTTCTTAAATTGTTAATAAAATACTATTCATATGTTTTTGTAAGTTTACAATTTTAATATAATAATGAACATATATATATGACGTATGTGCTAATAGAAATCTTTTTTTTCTTAGTTCTGTGCAATAATTTTTGGTTGTATTTCGATTGCACAGCTGATTTTCGTTTGTGTTTATAAACACAAAAAGGCCATTGCAATTCACACAATAATATTCACAATTCTTAGTACATTACTTGCAATTGCAGTAATGATTTACAGTTTTAAATATATTAAATATTTAAAATTAATAGTAGAACAAAGAATTATATTGAAGGAGGTGTGTGCATTTATAAGATATATATACTAATAAATAAAAGCTTTTATTTTAATCTAGAAAAAAATAAAATACGTGTTGGTTCTCGGATCGATCTTTATCTTATTTTTGTACTATGTTGTAACTCGTGAATGGGTAAATTTGCCAGTAATAATTTATTCAATAACATTAGTGAGTGCTAAAAGAGATAAGAAACTTAATGAAGAATGTTTTTTTAGGTTTCGCATATACCTTTATTTGCTGTGACATCATATTTATTTTGGCAAACATCAATCACTATAAATGTGATTCAAGATGATTCATTTCATCCAACATGATGAATGAATTTTACAAAAATAAAAAACATTGATCGCTTTCTTTTTTACTCATAGTTTTTCTTACATTAAAAAAATAAACAAAACCTTTTAGATGGATTTGTGAAGCTCTATATTTACTAGAGAAGTCTTTTCAATCGCCAATTAAGATAATGCTGCTCAAACATATTAATAAAAATAAATTTTAAATATTATATGTACAACAATATGATCAAGTATTAATGAGTTCTACTATCTAACACTTAGCGACCACTATTTCCTTCTTCTATCTTATTAGATGAGTACCTATTGGTCATTCTTTCTATTGTTTTTCTACTCAGATGAACTGAAAAAAGCAAAACTTTTTTTTTTGATTCGCTGCTCAACTCGAAGAATTATTAATTATGATTAGTACAGTTTTCATAGATTATTCATGTATTCCATTTACATTCATTGTAATATACTATGTGATTTAAACTTGTTAGTAAAAAACTGTTATGACAGCGAAAAAAATCATCCGATTTTATCATAGATAATAATGAAATGTATCTTTGCTTCATTATTGTTCATTTCTGCTTTTCTTCGAGTATGCTTTCTTAATGCTACTATTACTACTACTATACTTATGTTCTAAAGCTTCTTCTCGCATTATTAAATATCTTTTATTTTTCATCATCATCGACTAAATTCTTTTCATTATCGTATGTTTAACATTAAACAAAATATTCGTTTCGATAAATAAATGATGTTTTTATAAGTTTCAAATAATACATCTTCTAATAATAGATATACTAGCCATGACAGACATCAGAAAGGAGTATATCTTCTTCGCTAATGCTTGTATGTTATTTAACATGTCAGATATTTTCTAGCGAATAATGTTTTTAGATTATTATTTAATAATTTATTGTAAACTGTGTCCCTTTTGCATAGAATATTTATCTCCATCCAGCTTTATCTTTTAGTAAAAAATAAAATTTTATATATTTTTCTTTCAACGAGATTTTGTAATTTGAAATTTCGCAATGATTAATAACTTACTCTATAAATAATTCAACGTCTAGCTATACTCAAATAAAGTAAACTTTTATTCATATTTTATATAAATAGTTTTTATCTTTGATCAGAATATGAGAATGTTTATTTCAAAGAACAATAATAATGAAGAAAAATTTCAATCAAATACCTCACAATCACCTCAACGACAATCGCCACCATATGGTGATACATATAGTGTATGTTATTTTTTTTTATCTACTCATCTTTTTAACAAAAAGAATGTAGTATATACATTTTAATACTTATATTGATTGTTATAGACTGCTATGAAAATATTTTCGTGAAAATGTTTTTTGCATGGTTAAAATAACTTGTAACGCCATGTTTTTGGACGTAAGATTGTATCTAAACCGTTACTTATAGATCTATCATTTGAAATATGACAACAAATATTATATATATGAATACTGTGAACATATATTGCATTTAGAAACAAGATACATTTTATAAATGATATAAATCTCTCTTCATACAAATTTTTCAGTCTAATAAATACCATGTAATTCTATGAAGAAGAAAAAGACTATCTTATGATGTAGGGTGCTGTTTGGAGACAGTTTCGAAAGCATAATATTTTTCCTACAGCTGATTTAGTGGCGGTTCTGGGCAGAAGACCAGCCTGACTCAAAATTCTTTATAATAAGGATCAATTCTTTAACACTATTAATTTTTCTTAACATGAAAATCTCTGAATAATTCTTTCCTTTTCTTTTTACTGGCTTCATCAAGATTAACTGTGGTACTTAAAATTTATCCCTACTGGTTATCTATATAGTATAATGCACTACTAAGTTGATTTATATAAGTGAAGTCAAAATTATTTTTGCTCATCTATGTTCTAATATATACACTTCAATTAAAATTAAATAATCTTTATTCTTAAAGAAAAAGGAGAGAATTGAACTTGTTTTATATTCTTTTGTTTTTTATTTATAACAGGTATATGATTTGATAATGATCGCTATTGTAATTTTAATGAATCTTAGTCTCACATTCGGGAGTATGTATTATACTATTCATGGACTAGTAAGTATATGATATAGAATTCTTTTTGTAACATTCTTTTAGCTGTTCTCATACATCTCTTGATCGTGAAACTTAAAAAATTCTATTGTGTGTCTGACAGTTTTTCAGCTACTCTATCATTAGATTTTATAAAGAGTAATAATTATATATATATTTCTATCTATTATATCTAGTTTGCACCTGCTAATGCACCATTTTTTACTCGATTTGGTGCTTTACCATTTTTCCTTATATTTTTCATGCTCGACATGCATATAATATGCATCACATTCAAATGCTGCATCAATTTTCGCACTCATCTGGTTACCACATTAGTAACAATATGTCGAATCAATAAGGTTACAAATTGGCATGTAAGTAATCTTACCATCCAATTTTTATAATGAATTCTTCTTAGAACTGAAATAAAACCTAAACTTTATTACTCTAAATTATATTAATTTTTATGTTTCATATCTTCTCTTATTTCTTTTTTTGTAATCTACATATGTACGCTTTTAAACTTATTGACAGGGTTAAGGATTTGCTCTGCTAGCGGGTACTTCCTTTAAAAAAGTTTTAGCTATGCCACTGGAGAGATGTAAAAAAAACTACTTTTACCTTATTTTCGTCATAAAACTTTGACAATTAAAGTTCCAAAGGCACATATATATAGCTCAAGAAATTTGTTGAAAAGCTCTTTCAAAAAACAAAAGAAAAACACTGAATTGTTTCAATTAGTTCTTTATAAGAGCAAATCTATTTGAATAATGCAATTTGTAAAGATGAATTTTTAAATGCATTGATCATTTACAAGTCTGAAGGGATTTAATGAACTTAAACACTTTATTTTTTATTAGTTCCTATTTCTATACTATTTTATTTTTTTGATATTTAGGATAAATTATCTCAATCTATAACAAAAGGAGTTAAAAAAATTCGTATTGTTATTATGCCGAATTATCATTCTCATCAACAAGTTACTGATTCTGTTATAAATCAATCAATTCTTATCGTGTAAATCATCATTGTTTATATTTGTTTATCGTATATGTACTTTTTTGTGTTTTTTATATTTGTATATATATTCATTGTAATTCTATGTTGTGCTAAAAATACAATGTTTATCGCAATAGCTACTCATTTGCTCTTTTTTTGTTTTGTCTAAGTAATTACTGGAAAGTGAATCGTGCAAACCTATTTGTGTATTGGCTTTGAAAAAATAGTGTATGTAATGAATATGAAATTGATACTATTCAATAAATGAGTTGTTATTTGTAAACAAAATATAATGATCTATCGAGAAAACTACACTTCGTGTCTTTTAAGAAAAAATATTTTTAAATTAAAAAATACCCTTTAAAACTAAATTATATAATTATAAAATGTACTAAGAAATTCAGCTGATGTTTAGAAATTCACAACAAAAATAAATCTTGACCACAATACCAGAAAAGTAATAATGATAGGAAAATTGAATTTTTAGATACAAATCTTTGAATGAATAGAAAGCAAAAAGAAACTTATGGAGTGAAAATGAAACGATTTTTTTAAGCATTTATATCATACATGCTTAAAAACAGTTCTGTTTTGTCGATACTGGTCAGACCACATCTTCTCTTCTCCTCTCCTCCTCTTCCCTTTTCTTCTCGTCTTCTCTTCCCTTTTCTTATCTACTCTTTTTTCCTTCTCCTCTTTCTCTTCTCGCACGTTGTTCTTACCTATATCAGCACGGTGGATCAATTTTTTTTGTGTATAAATGATTAGGTGCATTTTCGTTTTCCCTTGATCTTTTCATTTGATTGTGTATTCTGTATCGTCATTCTTATAAATGATCGATTTACCCGTTTTTCTCCCGCTGCTCTCTCTATCCTCCACTTTTTCTCTACATGATTTTATATCCTCCCTATTAAACTAAATATACTGTCAGGACCTTAGAGGTCACCAGTTATCGCAAATAAAAATAAATAAAGATTTCTGTAGAATATAAGAGTATATAAATAATTTGTATTTATTATCCTAGTTTTAATTGCATGTAATGTCGACGTCAGAAAAAATTCTAAAGTTCTGAGCCTTTCCTAGCTACTAGTTTTAAGCGAAATAAATCAAATCAGTCGAAATATAAATCCGAACTAACATTCTGTAAGCGGCTTCATAAAAGTTCCATAACTCATATATAACTATGTTGTGAAGAATGTCTATAAACGCCCATTTACTTTCATTTACGGATCACTTTGTCCGATTAGGGTAAGACACCCTATGAAAAGTATCATATCAGATTCGTAAAATAAAAAAGAATATTTCATCAAAACGAAATATTAAAAATTTATATTTGTAAAACTAATCAAAAATAAGAACAGCTATTAATTATTTTGGTGTAATCTGTTGATATCCACAAAATTGAACGCTAATTATCAACTGTATAGAGTTACTGTTACATAAATACAGATGTTTCAACAAGACAATTCAAAGGTGTTATGGATGTATTAGATAGTCATATCCATATCACGAGTTCTTTTAGGTATGCAAACTAATAGAATTTCAGACGGTTAGTTCGATCAACATTAGCCAGTCAATGAATACCGGTTCTATCACTTGGGCTGGCATCGCAACCAAAAAGTCTCAACTGTATTGTAATCGGGAACAAAAAACACAAATAATCATTATTCGGTCTAAAAAATAAAAAGGCATCGAAAACAGAAAAAACTCAGTTCCACATATCCCTAGTTATAATCCAATATTTGGACTATGAAGAAGTCACATTTCTTAATATTTTATTTTATTTTAATATTAGAGTTTCTGCGTAACTTATTTTTATTGAAATACAAAAACATAGAATTGAATTTACAATGAAGGAAAATATTCCATAACATGTTTTGAAAAGACTATTGGTACGTTGACAAATAATCGATTTATTTAACAACAACTCCTTCGTGTTGTATCTCTTGTAAAATTCATTGTTACTTTTTTCAATTGATAATAATTAACTTTCAACTCAGTTAGACAAGGCAAATGTGCCTTTGTTTCGAGTAGAAATTGCGCAATATAATCTATATTCGCACACATAACATCAAGTGATATAAGATGAGGAAATTCAATAATTGAACAAGATGCATTCTTATCAAATTCCCATTCATTACGTTCAAATGACAGACTTCTGTTATTCTCTATAGAAAAATATTTAAGTATTGGAAATATTTGACTAATACGTATAAAGAATTCATGTTCCATTGGAATTATATCATAGACAGACAAATAAGTCACCGTATCAAATACAATCATTGGAAAATGAGTCGTAATCATTTCCAAACGGCTGAAGGTAAATGGAAGCGAATAAATATGACATATGGCGGCATTGCCGCCCCTGAAAGAATCTATAATAGACGCCATTTGTCCATATCTTATATTTGTAAATTTTCGTTCAATATCTGAATTAGATTTATGAGGAAATGAAGAATAAATATCTTCTTGTGTACTAATATAAAATTTGAATGTATGAAGTTGAGGCATATAATCGAGAATTTCATTTTGAAGGTGTGTGCCATCAACGAATGCATTTCGATGAAGGATACGAAGATACAAAGTTAACTTTTCGAGATGCGTCATACGACGAAGAAGAGGTACCACCAAATCGTCATAATCCATAGTAACATCATAACTTACTAATGAAAAACATTTTAAATTATGTAATTCACCCTATAAAATACAAAAATATTATCTTTATTAAACATATTCAACTCATTAACGAACATAAATAATTTCTGTGGAAAAAAACTGATCGTAAAAGCATCACTTATTTTCAACTCTCTTGTGTATTACACCTCATATAGAATATGGAATAATATCTCAAATGAATAGTAAACTCAAAGTTACAAGCAGTTCGGTAATTCGACCAGAAACATCTGGATTTTTGCTAGTTCGTCATTATAGAATTTTCTATTGTATATAAAGATTTTTCAATAAAAAGCGAGTCTTTTTTTTTCATTACTAAGCGAAAAGCTGATTAATATAGTGTGACCCGAACGAGAGATAGATAGAAAGAATTGGGAGGCTTGTTACTTTTCAACAGAATTATTTACTTGCAATGATAATAACATGTCGAATGTGATAATCATCCTAATTAAGCAAAGACACAACCTTAAAAGAAGAAAGTTTATTTTTAATCACTTCGGCTGATGCTACAGTAATCAGGAAGTGATGAAAAGCCCTGCGAATCAGCCGGCTCCGCGATATATTCCGACATGTTTCTTACACTCGTATTTCAGTTAAAGTCGCCCGAAGTTTTCAACAACTTGATTTTTCTTTCGAACATAGAGAAACCATCTCGAGAAATATTAGCAGCATGGAACTGTAAGTAGTGATCAAAATTGCTATTTTCGTACGAGCAACAATGTTCACGAGTGAAACGCTTTTTTAATTAACGTTCACCCTCTCACGAAGTTCTGTCTGTCTTATGCGAAACTAATTCGTTTAACTTTAGCTATTTTAAGGATTCATTTAATGTAGAAAAAAATGTATTTTTCGAGACAGTTATTGCTGAGCTTGCCTTCTTCAGTCCTATCGAATAACGACGAATAAACAATGCTAGTCTAATCAGCTTAACAGTGAACATAGTTTAGAAAGTCGACACTTTGTGATTTTATATGTAAAGCTAGTTTTTCCCATATATTCTGTGATGCCACTTAAAATCGCAACATGTAAATCTTGAAGTCACTATCTTACTTCAGCAAACTTCTTTTATATTCTCTTGTTTTTCAACGAGATTTTCATCAGTTTAGCTCCGAAAATGAACTTGCCGGACTCTGGCCACACCGAAAGAACTAGAAAAAATCTGATCGGTTTTGTCTCTGAATATACAGTATTAAACTTTTTGTACATTTAAAATAGATATTTTCTAGAAACTGTTTCTGAAAACAACAACCATCAACATAAGATTTTCAAAAGATTAGAAGTAGTTTTAACAGCTGAATTTAAATACATGGCTGAATCAGCATGAAGAGAATCAGTTGAAAAAAGTCGCAAGTGAAAATATAAACACAATGAGATATACATTGATTGGTAGGAATAAAAAGTGACCGATGATCTCCTATATTCTCATTCTCACTCGAATACTATCGTCTTCCATCCTTAATTTTCTTTCGACCAAATTCAGATTTTCCTCATGATATATCCTTAAAATTATTCTTCTTTCGAAAGTATAACTATCACATATTTTAAGACATTCTACATAAACAGAAAAATTTCCTTGAAAATATTTTTATCAATATGTTGTCAATCAGTTTTATACAGTTGGATGATATCATTGTTTGAACTTCTCTAGTTTTCAATAGAACCGACTTCCTTATACATATAATTTGCTCTTCTTCTATTACGATGACCGTATATTTACTGTGAATAAGTAGAAGACAACCATATAATGTCGATAAATTTCACAAATTTTCTCTTAGAGCTTAAGAAAAAACTTTTTATTTTCTACTCGAAAACAAAATAAATTAATTTATATAATCATTATAAAGCAACTCAGTTATCCAGTTTCTTATTGAAATATTTGTAAATAAATTCAAAAAAAAATTAAGAAAATATGAGACCACCGTTTTCGAATAATAGAAAAAGCAAAGATGTCTTTGTTTCTAAGAGTTTAACAGTAATCAAGTAACTATGAAATTCTATTTACTATTCTATTGCAATATTCATGAGATGTTTACATAAACATTAACATCAATCATATCATCGTCAAAGTTATAAATTAACTTTTAACAACAATATAGTATGAACTCACCTTATTTAGATGGATCGAATTCATACTGAAGATACACTTTATTTTAACGATGAGTGTGTGTAGTTGTTTGAGTCGACCATCAAGTAAACAGAGACAATCCGGAAATTGCAACACATTAATACTTAATACAGTAAGAGTCGAGGAGTAACAAGTAGTTGGTGGTAGACTAGATAGTAAGAAAAATGGATAATCGTTCGGAGAAGTGGAAACAATTGTCAAATGTTTTAATTTTTTGAAAAGAGAAAAGATATGTGCATAAACATCTCTTGTATAAATATACAATTGCATGTTTTGTAAATATTCATCATTATTATGAAGAATAAGCTCTGTTATGTGAGATTGAAATATATGTTTGAAGATTGAGTTATCTAAACAAAAAATCAGTGTTTTACTTGTATATTGCATACTTTGGAGTATGTTAAATATTTACCTGTAAAATAAACAACATTCTCTTGTGTGAAATTAAACAGCTCTAGAGAAGTCAGATTTGGATAATTACCAGCTAGAAGAATACGTCCCATTGATGATGTTTCGAGAATGAGTTTTCTTATACAATGATGACTTCAAGGTAAAATATCATTACAAAACCGTTCAAGTTTTAAATCAGTAATTGATGATGTCGTTACGAGATTAAGAGTATTAGTAAATATATCATCTTGTAGCAAAATTTCGATTAGATGATTACCAATTCCAAATAATGAATGCAATACATCAATATTGTCAAGCTTTTTTAAGATAATAAGTAATATTTCATTTGGAAGATCAAGAAGATCAGTGTCGAACTGATTCATAGTTGCTGATAACTGTCACTTTTCTAAAAAATTGTTAATTTATATTGTTTGTTATCGTTTTTTGGTCTGCTCTTTTCTGTCACTGAAGAATAGAATGTGTGACCGCGATATTAAAATATGATATGTATAGTCCACTGTCAGGCCACAAACAGACTAAAAAAATCAGACCAACTGAAACTGAATTAATCGTCTGGAATAGACAATTTAAGTTGAGATGGACCAATCACATTGCTTAATTCAATATTAAATTAATTCATTTTTTCAGTTTGAGCGTGGGGCAGTAGGTGTGGATGGGTGTTTTTGATTTATTAATCAAATACGATAAGCACATCCACACACTCTAAATTCCAATTATAAGTAGTGAAAGAAAAAAAATGATTGAACACAATTTAAATTGTGAAGATTTGTATGACTTATGATTTTTTGTTAATAAATATATTTAAAGACTTTGGTCTCAAGGCTCAGAAATAGGTGGAAGATATTAATGTTATATCTTTATTCGATAACTACAAGCTATAAGATGAATCATCGAGTTAATAAGCATTGTTCGAGTTAAAGAAATTACATGAATTGAAGTATTTTCAAAAATAGTTGAATGACATATATGATATTTTATCAAGTGATCAGTTTGTAAGTTTTATTCCAAAGTGTATGAAACAGATAGATAAAACTATGATGGAAAGACTCAATTGATCGTAAATTTTTTATCAATTTATCGTTTTAAATATTTTATTTCTAAATAAACAAACTGGTTAACCAACGTATTTTATGATGGACATATATATACATGAACTATCTGATGTTACTGTTGTAAAGAATGTATTTACTTGACGATTGAAACTATTTCTCCTGAAAAATAGAATAAAACTATTTGCAAACTAATATTCGCCTGTTTTATAATCTTTGTGAATGAATGTGTGAAACACTAAACTAGATGAATGTATCTTGGCATATGCGTTTATCAATGTGCATGTGATTTACAATTTTTGAGCCTATAATTATCTCAAAATACTTTCTATAAAATGATTAAAATACACAAATGTCGTAATATCTTCACACCCGCTATCGACAACTACACATCAGAATATCCAGTGGAGTAGATTTTGGGTAACTACTCAGTTACACCAAATTCAATCGAATCCCTCAACTTTTAAAGCTAGAAGTTGGTGGTTCTCATGATTTTTCATTTTATAAGTGTGCAAGGTTGTGGAGTGTGAGTAATTCTTGCAGAGGATCAGATGGTGGATAATTTTCAGTAATAGGTGTAAGGGTATTATGATACCACTCTTAAAATATGTATCCTGAAGTTTCTTCTACAGTATCTATCTGGCATGTCTTTCAATCCGCTGACCATTTAGTAAAGTTTTACATATGATCAATGTAATAAACCGACTACACTATAGTGTGTAAAATTTTTTTTTGCCATGATGTAATCGATCATATAGATAAACAAATTAGAGAAACGGTATTCAAATGAACAAAGCAAGTAAATATAACTCTCATTAAAAAGATTCAATTGACATCTAATAGTCAATTAGGTTTTTAGTTTGCAGTAGCGATTTTTGAAAGAAATAACATGATCAAAATAGACAAAACAAAACGATGGATGACGAGATCTATTCGTCAGACCTTTAATTAATGGAATGTTGTCATACTGTGAATGGGAAGAGATCTATAAAATGATCGTATAAAATATTTCATTGAATTTACAATCATTGTTCAAATGATTAGTTAGTGTACTGTAATTCAGATGAACAAGCGGGAACTAATCATTGGCTAGAGTATTGCAATCGCCTAACACATTTAACGAATTTATTTTAATATGAGATCTTCGAACTAAACAAAATAAATGGCAAAAGCTGTATCAAAAAATAATTCTTGCTAGGCACGTCATCTTCAACTATACAAATTGTTATATCTAGATCGCTGATAGAATTAACAATTCATGTGTTATGTTACAGATTTTTTTTTGTGTTCTAATGATAGTCAGTAGTATCGCTTTTCAGTTAGACTGACTATGAATAAAATACGACATTTTATTGCAATGCCAGTTGTTACATTAAGTATAGTAGATACCATCTGTAAAAAAGTATTGATATTGTAGAAATATTTTACGTATAATGTAATGTCTAAGCTGTTTCTAACTTCAGTTAAATTTAAAAATAAACTTTCAGTCTAATTTTTATTCGCCAAGAATATTTTCACTGAATTGATATTTTTTTATCAATACGTCGACAAGTATCTATTTTGGTCCAATCAAATTCTTTTTCACATACTGCATAACTATGTGAATATTTCAATGTGTATTATAAATGATGTGGAGAAACTTCCTCTTTGTGTCTAAATATTATATAGAAGAAGAAAATGGCTATCATTTAAACTGCCTCTTTCAACTCATTGACTCTTTTTTCATATTCGTATAAGCGGAATAATTTGACAATCATATTTTCTACATTATTTTAGAGTAAATCTTTCACATTTCAACGATCATATTTAATTCTATAAGAAAAAATTATGACTGATCAATTCGGTGTTATCTATGGTGCTGCATTAAGTCTGTTTCAAATTTTTATAATTCAAGATAAAAGAAAAAAAAAGATTTTATTTTAATTTTTAGTTGTCGGTGGTTTACTCGGATATTTCCGTGGTGGTAGTATTATTTCACTTTTACTTGGTATTTAATTAACTTTAATATTATAAATAATTTCTTATTTTTATCTTGTAAATTTTTAGGTGTTGTTTTGGGTGCCTGGTCAGTTTACAATGCAAGTCATCCTAGTCGACAAAATAATGTTGCTAATTTAGCTGTAAATATTAATAAGAAATATGATATTTTTATCTCATAAAATATATTTAAATTAAATTTAGATTGCAGCAGTTCTTGGTGTCGTTATGTTATTACGATTTTTAATTGGTGGAAAAGTATTTCCAGCACTTGTCATTGTAGCTTTATCAGCTGGACAAATTTATCGCAATTTTGCATATTTAAAATAAAGTTCAACATAAGAAAACAAATTAAAACAAAACATTTATCTCTTTTTTCTTCCTTGCTTTAATCTTACTGGTTGTTTGTTTGTTATTTTCTTGTTTCTCGACTGTTAGCCGTACATTCTATTAACTTGTGTCGTCATATGCACGCATGTATAACAATTTTGTTGTTTGTCTTTGCTCATATGTTCATTTATCTCATTATCTCTATTCTTAAAACAAGCAATGTTCTTTCTTGTCATGTTCGTATATGATTTTATGAAATAACTAAAGAAAAAAAAAATACTATAGATATATATAAATATATAACTATTCCTACAGCATTTAGTGCAATGCAAAAACATAGAATTTTTATATTGATCTCATTGTTGTAGAAATGTACATATGTATGGAAAACGTTTCTTATTGGTATTGTAATAACAGCAAATAAGATTGAATTAAATTATTTGTCAAATTATTAAAAATCATAATGTCTTTTCCACCACATATGCCAATGATGAATCCAATGTCATTTTTTCCTACAATGCCTCCAATGATGATGCCACCTAATGTAAATATTTTATTTTTGAAAAACTTTTGAAAATTTATATACTTTTTATTTTAGATGGCTACACCACCACCTGGAATGCCGACATCAACAAATGGTTCACTTAAAACTGGAGAGCCTGACAAGGTTTGTTTATATTTTCTTATTACTCAATATAATAAATAACATATGTATATTTCATTGTAGAAAAATCGTCTTCAAGTACCAACAACAGTCTTTGTTGGTAGTATTTCGGATAGAGCACCTGATGTTATGATAAAACGCATGCTTCAAGTAAATAATACTATTGATGATCTTATTTCATAGATATATATATATTATTGATTATTTAGCATTGTGGCAGTGTTATTAATTGGAAACGAGTTCCAGGTGCTAATGGAAGACTTCAAGGTATAGGACAAAATAATTTTCTTTGTTTTATTTTTGAAAATTTTCTTTTCTTTAAGCATTTGGTTTTTGTGAATATGAAAATCCTGAAAGTACACTTCGTTGTATTCGTTTACTTAATGGTTGGCAAATTCAAGATAAAAAATTAGTTGTAAGTGTTTAATTTTTTGTACTTTTTTTCTTTCGATCATCCAAAAATTAGGCGCTTATTACAAGCCGTTTACACATACATTCATATACATAAACACGTGAGTGTTTAAGAATATGTGCTCGTGCATATTGTATAAGTGCTCGCAATTTTTTCAGTCGAAACACTTCTACTCGGTTTGGGTGTCTATCTAACACGTAATTCATTGGTTACAAACACGAGTCAGAACAGCAGACAGTCATTTACCTGGTAACAATTTATATACATCACTAATAAGAACATTTTGTTTTTTAAAGAAACTTTATTTTTTCTTTTTTATATTTTTCTTAGTGTATATGTTCTACAAAATGCAATCTTGTTCTACTTTATAAATAAGAGACAAGACATTCTATGAAAAAATAACTATTAAATACAAGAGTGAGTGGTGCCTTGTATTGAGAAATCTATGTGTATAAAAGTTCTATCTATACACTAAAAGATGTTTTTATGCTTTTATTTTCTTTACTTTTTTTGAAATTAAAATTTTATAAATTGATAAATATAATACTATAATTTTTATTTTCTATTATTAAGGTTAAAGTCGATGCTAAAACCAAACCATTACTTGACAAATATAAAAAAAAGAAACGACATGAATTAGCAAAAAAAGCTGCAAATGATACAAGAGCTTTTCGAGCAGTTTATGAAGATGATGATGATGATGATGAAAAAAAATTGAATAGTACGGATACAGATGGAAAGGTAAAAATAATTAAAATAAATATGAAATGAAACATCTTATGAAATTTTCTATTTTAAGAAAAAATCCGAAGAAGAAGGTGAAATTGAAGAAGATGATGATGATTATATGGATGATGCTACACGACGTGAAGATTCTGCAATTAAACAAGCACTTGAAACAGTTATGCGAGAATATTCACGTGAAATGAATCAACGAGCATTAGAAGCAAAAGAAATGGCAGCTCGAGAAGCACAAGCAACTGCAAATACTATGCCATATATACCTTCAAATACAACAGGTAATCCTATGCCAGATACATCATCGACAACAGCAAATTCAACAACGCGACATGCTGATTCACCTGGTACAGGTCAAGATGAAGATGGAAAACGAAATTTAATTACAAATGAAATACAAATGTTTCGTGATCGTTTTAAAGATGAAGATACAAAAATGCGTAATACAGAAAAAGAACGTAAAGATCGTTATGAACGTGAACGTGTATTACAACGTGAAAAACGTGCAGCTGAAGAAACAGCAACTAGTAGAAATAATAAATCTACTGCGTCACCATCTCATGATCGTTCATCACCAAAACGCGATCATAGTAGTAGTAGTACAAGTCGACGCGATCGTTCGTCACCTACTAATGATCGTTATCATAGTTCATCATCACGAAATAATACAAATAATTCTGTACGTAATAATCGTCAGAGTGATCGACGTAGTTCTCCACCATCACGATATGATCGTCGTTCACCTGTTCCATCATCATCATCATCATCACGTCCATATAATCGTCGTTCAAGAACAAAATCACCTATATCGAAACCGAATAATCCTAATGAAAATGATGAAGAAGCTTATGAACGTAAAAGACAAGAAAGAAGATTACGTGAAAAAGAAGTTCATTATCGAGAAGTAAATTTAAAAAAATAAAATGATTTATGATATACTAAAAAAATATCCATTCATTTATTTTAGAGATTAAAAACTTGGGAACAGCGTGAGCGAAAAAAAGAAATTGATTATGAATCTGAAAAACAACGTGAATTAACTCGATTACGTGATGAAGAAAAAGAAGGCAAACGTTTATTAGCATTTCTTGAAGATTACAATGATGAAATAGATGATACGAAATATTATAAGTAAGCTATATTTTATTTGATTATTTAGTCGAATAGTAAAAACATACGATTAAAACGGTTCAAACCTGCACTAAAGTGATGAATAACCAATAAATTAACTTTCGTTCTTCTGACTAATTCTGGAGAGAATAATCAACTGATTAGTGCATTCTACCATTCTCTACGAGTTTCTATACTCGATATTCATTCTCATCAACATTGTACAATTTATCTTTTTCATTTATTTAGAGGTACACCATTAGCTCGTCGACTTAAAGATCGTGAACATGAAATTGAAGTTGATAATCGTGATCGACATCGTGAGAAAGAAGAAATTGATGATTTACGTCAAAAATTATTACTTCAAAATAATGTTGATGATGTTGAAATAGAAATAAAACGACGTTTAGAAAAAGACGAAGAAAATATACGCAAACAATTAGCTAATCTTATACGACCAACACATGATGAACCTACTGAACAATTAGATCATGAAGAAGAATCAAAGAAAAAACCTCTAGCAACAATAAATCATAATGATAATCTAGATTTACCAACTAATATGAGTAAGAGAAATTATTTAAAATAAATAAATTTATTTATTTATTTCTGTTTTATAGATATTGATACTACAATTCATGTATCACCAACCATAATCAAAACTGAATCTTCACAAAATGGTTTGTATCTTTTAATAAATATTTTTCTTTATTTTATTTCATTTGTTTTATTAAGACGTAAAAGAGAGTGTTCAACCCACATCAGCACTTGGTGGTGCACCTATTTCAGGTACAAAATTACCATCAAAACGTAAATTAGCTGTCAATGATGTAAGTTTTTATTTTTTGTATTATATATTACATTAAATATTTATTTCAATTCTAGGTTTTTCGTGATGATCAAGAAGATGATAGTATAAATTCAATACCAAAAAAATCAAAATTACCTATAATACTCGAACAACAAACAACAATTTCTCAAATTTCATCATCACAAAATATACCTGAATATTCTATTCCAAATACGAAAGATGAAGTATTAAAAACGACACCATTGATGTCGAATACAAATACAAATTTAGCACAAATACAAGAAGAAAAACGACAAGCTGTACGTAAATTAATTGAAAATATTCCAACAAAAAAGGAAGATTTATTTGCATATGAATTAGATTGGTCATTACTTGATTCTGTAAGTATTTTATTTTTATTAATATTCGTTTGACTTTATAATATTTTTAGACTCTAATGGAAAAACGTATTAAACCATGGATCATAAAAAAAATTATTGAATATATTGGTGAAGAAGAACCAACATTAACAGATTTTATATGTACATCAGTAATGTCGAAGAAAAATGCCGATTCTATATTAGCTGATATACGTGTTGTACTTGATGATGAAGCTGACATTTTTGTTGTTAAAATGTGGCGTCTAATTGTTTATGAAATTGAAGCTAAACGTCATGGTGTGGGCAAATAGTTTCTTTTGCATTTGTTTTTCCGCCGATATTTTTCTCGGTTTATAACTGCATTGTTTTTTTTTCATTAAGAAACAATAGAAATATTTCAATATTCCTGAGTTTTTTGTAATCATCTGTATAAAATAAAAACGTTTTTTTAAATTATATATTGAACTGTACAAACAAATGACGGAAAGTAATTTGAAATATTGACAAAACTGTTGTTCTCATCTAAATCATCACATTGTAACGTGGAATAATATGAGAGTGACAACATTCAATTACTTGAAATTTGATCTTATATACGATATGACTTTTAGTTTCAAAAGTATTGTATGAGTGGTAATTGATATATACTTTCATTGAATAAATGCTTTTTAGAAGTTCCGAACTTACCAAATAAAGACTGATTTGTACATTGAAGGAATCATTTTTCACATAATGAAATGACTAGTGTACAAGTTCATGTATTATTGAAAAATGATGGATGATCAATTTTAAAATTTTTCTATTAATAAAGAAATCAGCTATTCGTATTTCTATTGAACATAGTAGAAGTAATTGTCATATCTATTGATATGTATTTTCTAGTTCTACATATGAGCTGCATTCTTTGTCAAAATTCTACTGCCTCGAGGTATCATTGCAATTTTCGTAAGAGAGATACATTTGAGTATTCTCAACCTCAATCGGGTATTTATCGTTAAGGTGAAAAAATATTTCCCTGAAGAAAATTTTAGATAATCGTTACTGTGATTCTATGGATTCTAAGTGATTGTAAGTGATTCAACGGATTCTAAATTATTCTGGAGATTTCAAGTGATTCCAGCTAAATCTAATACCTCGAAATCAGCTGCTTCCCACTTGACTTTGCAGCTGTTATCATTAGGATATAAATATAACAACATCACAAGATGAGCATTAGATTTACTGTTGGCAAGTTGATAAGATGAAGACTGTACGTGACGTATCATCAATCAAAGATTAAGGATTCCATTTATCAATCATATTGGATTGTTTTGTATTTATATCTTCAACTATATCAGCAAAATAGATCGTTAAAAAACAAGCTCATATATATAATTAGCATTATCTAGTATACCTTTGAGAACCATATATACAAAAGACTTTCTGAAAAGATTCATTCATATAAAGGTAATCTCAATGACAAAGTTTCTTCTTCGTTAGAAAGAAAGAATTGAGTAAATAAATTTATGATTACAAAAAAAGAGGAGGCGTCAACTTTTTCTTAACGTACTTATCATGAGAATGCAGCACCTGACTTTCATTCTTTTTCTTTTATCAATTTTATTCATATTCAGTCATAGTATAAAACTCAAAGATATATAAAGCATTCTGTTTACTAATTGACTAATTCAGTCATCGTTTCATTCTGTCATAGAGTAATACATAAGAATAATAATAAAAAAAAAGTATATATATATATATTGTATTCTTTGCTTTTTAGAATAAAAGATATACGTCTTGAATACACAGCTGTCACATCGCCTTGAAGTATTATAAAAAGATAAAAGACCAAAAGAAATTTCAGCATTTTATACAACAATAAACAGAAACAATGAGTAGTATGTCAACACGTAGTACTACTAGTGGTCGCGCTCATTATAAACTGACAAGAACAGTAACAGGCACCGATGGAAAGACACATACAGAAACGGTCGAGATGTATGATGATGATGCGGTCAAGGTATATTTATTATATACTAACAGATGTTACTATTATAATTATTTTTTCATATTTAATAATAGTTAATGCGAGGTCTGCGTTCAAATCGTGATAATGTTCCAGATTTAGATCGATTTGGATTTCGTCCATTGACAGATCCAAAAACTCTTCCTCAATTGGAACAACGTAATCATCGTCTTATACAATCATTAAAACCAAAATCTACATCGTCATCATTATCATCATCATCGGGAGCAGGAGCAACAGCAGCAGCAGCAGTAGTGCCCGCACCTCCGAAACGTTCGACTGTTACTCAAAGTAACAATGAATTTGTTCAAGATGCATTACAAGTTCATAATGAATTAAGACGACGTCATGGTGTTGAATCTTTACGATTAAATAATGATCTAACAAAATTAGCTCAGCAATGGGGTAAATAAAGAATAAAATCTATTTAACTATATTTGTTAAGTAAAATTCCTTTTTTCTAGCTAATCACCTAGCATCTACTGGAACACTTGTGCATAGTAAAACTAAATATCGAAATGTAAATGTTGGTGAAAATCTACGTTGTCAATCATGGTCAATAACTGGTATCCTTACTTCATTTTATTACTTTTTTTCATGATATATATATATTTTTTTTTCTTAAATTTAGGTAAAGAAATGACACAATCATGGTATAATGAATGTAACAAATATGATTATCGTAATCCTTCATATCAACCAGGTACTGGTCATTTTACACAAGTTATATGGAAAGATTCACAAGAAGTTGGTTTTGCACAAGCACAAGGTACATCAATGATTTATGCTGTAGCTATGTACTATCCACCAGGAAATTATGTGGGTGATTTCGATCGAAATGTACTTCCTCCACGTTAAAACAACTTTTTTTTGCCTTGCATACTATGTACATTTTTATGTTTATTCTCATAATCATTTAATAATTAAATAAATGACAAGAAAAATGAATAAAGAAAAAAGTATTAAATAATAATAAATTTTCCAACTACCACTTTTAAATAGTAATTGTACACGTCGACGTGTGTGATTAACAAGATCACTTGCATGATTAATAGCTTCGTGATATTCCTAAAGAATAAAAATAATTTGATTCTATGGATTCAAAAAAATATTATTTAATTCAAACCTTAAGATCTTCATTTTGACGTCTAGTCTCATTACGAATTTCTATAACAACAGTTTTAAGTTCTTTTACTTGTGAAACAAGTTGTTGTGTTCGTTCTTCATTTTGTTCTTCAATATACGAATAATTGGTATGTTGTGTATAGACATTCGAAAATCGATTTTCAACCATTGTCTTACTCAACGTAGACAACTTACTGAATGCATGAAATCAGTCAATATACACGACACATCATATTTGCCACGTCATTATCTTTAACGCGATGATTCATTATTACATACAAAATCATTTTATTACATCAGCTCTCTTTTTCAATTTCATAGAATAGAGAATAATAACAAAAGAAAGAAAAAAACGAAAATTTAACCACACATCTAACAACAAATGATAGTAGTAATTAATAATAATAATAATAGTATTCATAATAAGCGCAGTAGCAATATTAATAGCACAGAAAGAAAAACGAAAAGGAAAAAAAAAAGAAAACAAAATTCGAAATAAGATTATCGTTCGAATAAGTAAATCGAAACAAAGAAGAGATAACGCTGTACAAGAAGAGCAAACAAATGAGATACATCTTCATCAGAAATTTTCAAAACAGTTAGCATCACAACACTGAATATGCGAGAAAAGAAAACAGAAAACACGTCTTATTCATAAAGATTTTTGTCTATTTTATATGTCAAAAAAAAACAAAATGAGGAATGTCATCATGCTGACCAGCAGCATTTCAATTAAAGAGTGAGAATATTATATACTGTTCACAGAAGTAACAAAGGACGGATAATCACAACTGTCAAAAAAAAGAGATTATCTAATTCATTCATAGTAGAAGAAGTGAGAAAAATAATAAAAACAAAAAAAAATTTCCTGATTTATGTGTATGTTTTTTTTCATTTTGAATTATTTTCCACCACTACCACCAAATAATCTTCTTTCTTTTAATTTTGTCATACTTGATGAACGTAATCGATTTCCACTATGAACTGAATGTTGAAATGTTGTTGGTTGTTGTGATAGAAGTCGTTCACGCATTCGATCAAGTTCAGCATGTTTAAGTTCTTTTAGTTTAGTTTTTAAATGATCACGATCTTTACTTGATTTTATTCCCATTGCCTGAGAACAAAACATTCAATAGATTAATTAAAAAATTTTATTATTTATCATACTTTCATTTTTGTACTATCAAGTAATAGAAGTTTTTCTCCATCGATATTTCGATTAAGAAATATTGGAATAAATGATGTCATTTCCTGAGCTGTTAACCATTGAATACATTGATCAGATGTCCAATCTTTTACTTCAATGAACTTGAAAGAAAGAAAGAAAAAAAAAGTCAAAATAATGTTTTTATTTTAATTTTACCTCATCGGTAATTGTATTTTTATGATTCGTTGATGAAACTTCTAAAAATATAGAAAAAAATAGTGAGATGTTCAATTTTCTATAGATACAAAAATGTTTTTAGGGTATTAATCAAAGTGATTTGTTTCGATTGGATGATTGCTTTGAAATGTAAAGAATCGTATTATAATTGCCTTTCTTCTACAAAAGAATCTTATCAAGCAGTACGAACTATTAAATTGATGTTCTATTCATCCAAAAATGAATGTATAAACTACAAAATGCTAAAGGGGAAATAAAAATATCAATATTCATACTTGTTGTTTCTTCTACTGATGAAATTTTAATATTGGAAGTTTTGATATCTGAATCTTCATTTTGATGATTATTATTAACTTCATCAAGTAATGGATTTGATAAACGTTTTGATGGTAAATTTCTAGGACGTGTTTTAGCAATCTGAGTTTTATCCATTTGTATACTATGATTTAATAATGGACTACGATCAACTTCGAAATCATGTTGATTTGATAATTTATTATTGGAAAGTTTCTCTATAGATGTTGATGGTAATCGAACTGATGATGTTGCAGGTGTATTTCGTG